AAACGTTTAGATCATTCAACAAATTTCAAAAGACATTTGGATCATTTTGAAATATACATATATTGCAGGACGTCTTTCTCATGTTGCATGTAATCCGAATGTCAGGTCTTGCAGGAATTACGAGAATCGAAAATCGTATAATCTATAAATTATCGGCCGGTTCAGGCATCTTTCATATATCTTCCAGTGACCAAGACACTTCTAGACTAGTACTGTAACAAACACTGTAATTAGTAAAATAAGTTTTTTTTATCTTTTATATGGACATTTTTTCATTATCTAAGAAAATTTTCTCTTATAGTGCATATTAAAAATGTAATAATAAAATATAATTTAATAATTATAATTTCTGTAATGATGGAAATTTTAAAAGTAAACTAAATTAGTATCAAAAGATTGTAAACTCTCAATCTCTCATGTCACAACTCACACATAATGCAAAATCTGATATCCAAATTTCGTCCAAAAATCATTAATGGATGGCCCCATATGCTTTAATAATGAAGAAACAAGAAATTGATTGTGGCCCTTCCTTTCAATTTCCACAATCAATTTCCTACGTGACAGAAAGTGAACACCGCTGGATATTGTAGGGTTTCCGCATAGAAACAAATTGTCTCAGTGATGGTTCCTCTAATTAATCATGGAAGAGAGATAAAGCATATCACGTGTAGGTTTACGATACCAATCAATAAATGAAATATGAAATCGTCAATGGAAGGTACGGAGGAAGGTTTACATAAAAGATTTTTTTTGGGGGGAGTGGAAATCGTTGGAGTGTAATTAATAGAGTCGTATCATATATTTTTGAAAAACAAAAACTTAAAATGAACTCATATATTTAAATACTCAATATATAGAAAAACTTAAATGATATAAATATTATAAAATTTGAGTGCATATTACAATTACAATACGTAACCAAATTATGAAAAGTTTCATTCTTGTTTGTGTATATTTTATAATTGTAAGATTTTCACATAATAGGCCTATAAAATTAACTTATGCATTAATTATGTTATTTAAAATAATAACATTAAGCATGAATCAAGCGGCTTCGGCGGTCAAACAATTGTTGTTATTTTTTAGACTTTAAGCATCATGAATATCCGATATTTGAGCAATCAATGTCAAATAATTTAAAGTTATTTTCATACATATATTATTTTGTATTTACTCCATATTAATAAAAACATACCAAAATTAAAAGAAAATCATTTGATATAGTTCTGATATATTGTATTTTATATTGTTAATACCATTGATGTATCTTTACAAATATAATGTACTCATTTTGCAAATTGTTTCATATATAAATATTGTTTCAAATATATAATTTTATATGTCTTGTCAAGTGCAAATGTTAGCGATATAAAATGAATAGTTATGTGATGTGATGTGATGCCCCAAAAAAAACCAACCACGTGTGATTTAGTTGAGCAGTATTAATAGATATACCACCAAATCATGAGTCAACTATGGAGGTACTGACGATGACAGAAGATAGGTTCACGTTTTAAATAAATTGTCGCACTCAGTGTTGTTCCATCGAATACATTATTGATGGGACATCAATTATTGAAAAGGAAAAACAAATATTTTATGAGTATTATTTTTATCGACGGTAGTGACGATAAGCTGACGAAGGATATTGCCTTTAGATAAGGGTAAGGGCATAAGGGTATACTATTATTATTATATTTCGAAGCAGAAATATTTTTTCAAAGTGATTATATATATATTAATAGTAAATAATTTTTAAATGAGAATAAAATAAATAAATAATAAAATAATTTACCAATAAACAGTTGGTCTAGTGAGATGAGGCACTAGGTCCCTTAAATTTTCGGGAATTCGAATTCTGACGTTTGTGAATGGAAAAAAATAGGTTAAGAATGTTGCCTTCGCCTCTATAATATCTAATATAGATTAATCTGTCAATACATTAAATATCAGTGATTAATAAAAAAATAAAACAATTTGATTTTTAGAGTGAATATGTATTTACTGTCATAATACTGTGGATCTGTCGTTACATGTCAATCCGGTTGTCATCTTCAATATTATTTTGATAATTTATTGTGGTATTTGATAGCAACCATAAACCTCCATGCATGCATTTTGACTGTGTAAAAGAAAAAAATCCCGATAGATATTGCATTTATTATACTGACGGACCCTTTGTTTAATTAATAAATAATTATTTAATATAGTGTTCATACAAAATAAATTGTATAAACGGATGTAGAATTATAACAAGTGTTTTTATTAAATATTTACGAATTAAAAAAATATTTTAGTTTTGTTTATGAAAAACATTTTCTTACTAATAATGCAATGTAGTTGAATCGATCATTCAATAAGTAGGGGCACACCTATGACCTATCCTTTTAGGGTTGTGGGGGACCGATGCTAATCCATGCACATATATGAAGAGGCCGATTATCTTATCTTTGATTTCATTTAAATTTGTGTGTCCATACAACGAGATTTCAATGCACACTCTACAAAAGCCAGCATGAAATTATTATTTTTATATTATGAGAGATTTAATTTTATTTTCACTGATATCATAATATAAAATGTTATAAATCTAAATCTATTTGAATGTGAAATCATTTATATTTGAATGCATAATAATTTTTAAGATAAAGTACACGAATTATCTTTTGATTATGGAGTATTGTTTTGTTGAGTTATTTGACTATTAAGAGTTATAAAATGTTTATCGAGTATAATATGTTATTTTGTTAAGTCCTTCAACTATAAAAATTTACAAAATAGTCACTCCTCTATTTATATGTTCTAAACTCTTTTTTTCGTTAAAAGATTGCCAAATGTTTGAGTTGAACGTTAACTTGTTGATTGAAGAATATGATGCTACTATATTGTAAATGTAAAAATAGTTAGAGATCAGTTCACAATGGATACAAAAGTCGTAGTATATATATAATATATATGAGTGGGTATGGGAACCAATACATGTATAGATAGATTCTATTTCTATGGCGTTGTTGGGGAGGTTCGTAAATCAAACAATTTATTTATCGAAGCGTAATGCTCAGCAGGTGAAAAAGGAGAAATGAACACATGAGATCCTGCTCAGTAGTAAAACATTGTTAAATTATTAGAATGGTGCAAAACTTGGGATTAGGTAATTGAAATGGGTACAAGGCAGTAAAGTATTATTTTGTCACTGTACCAAAGCTATTTTTTCATGGTATTCAATGCATGGTGGATGCTAGTGAAAAAGATGAACAGCTCAGAGGAAGTAAATTAGGTTTTTTTTCCTTCTAATCTTAACCCTAAATTTCTTCACTACAAAAATTGATGACAATGTGATAAACATTGAAAAAACTTCAATAGCCAATTCCAAAGCAAGACTATTTAGACGACAATGACTATTGTGTTTTAGTAAAATAAAATAAAAAATTAAATTAAATTAAATTAAAAAATCGGGTATTGGGTCGATGGGTACCCGATTAAATGATTTTCTGACCTGAGCTCGATCCAAAAACCCGAGAAAAATAGAACGCTAGATACCCGACCTACAACTTCAAGTATTTTGATAAAAAAATATTTGATTTTTTTACGAATCAACAAATCGACGGATCAAATCATCCTGACCAAATATTTTTAAACACATATAACTTCTTCGCTTACTCATCTCATATTTAATTATATAAAGTATATCTTTTTTGTATAAATTTAGTAAATTACATTCATATAAAAGAATGAATACATGTTTATAGTATAACCATTAAAAATATATTTGATTATCCATATTTATTTGTTTTTGAAAAAAATTCATTAGTTTTATTAAAAATTGAAAAACAAATTCTAAAATTCTGAACATAAATTATGAAAGAAAAAAATAAAAATTATTAGTTTTATACAAAAGGTGCTCAATTTATGCCCGTTTTCAGTTTAGTGTTTAAAATTTATTTTTTTTAGATTGGTGCTTAACGTTTTATTACGTTACATAAAATAGGTCAAGTCGTGACAGACCGTTAACCTATTGAAATGTCAATTGACATTTTTTAATATAAGAAATTAATTAAAATGATTTCTGAACCCCAAAACCGTAAGCCCAAAACACCCTCTCAAGTCTCAAGTTCTCAACTTTCTCTCTCAACCCCACCTTTTTTTTCTCACTCCACCACCACTTGTCCACCACTATTTCTCCTCTCCAGCTCCCTTCTCAACTCCTCCATTGCTATCTTTGATCTTCTAAACTCATACATCAATATCCCACCACCTTTCCCCTTCATCTCGTTTGTCTCCTCCGCCACGCTCTGCTGCAACGTTACCGTCATATCATCAAACTCGATCCGAAAAACAAACGCCCTTCGCCCCGCCCTCTACTCTTGCCAACAATGGACCACCCCGTAGAGCAGCAGCATCAGAAGCAATGAGCTCAGATTCCTCATTGTGTATAGAAATCCTCTGAAACCATTGAACCCATTCAGCTTCGATTCCATCGAAACTTTCTCCTCCAACTTCAACGAGAATGGTTGGATATATTTTCGTTTCCATGAACTCCCTGTTTTCTTCACAAATATGGCTAAGAAAAAGATGAGACTTTTTTTTTTGGCATTTGACCAGTGTTTCTCTCTCTTTTCCTTAAGCTACTCACTTTCACTCACTCTACAAACCACTTAGCTTCTGTAACTTGAGGAGACTCTCCTTTTTCTCTTTACATTAAAAGATTTAGAACCAGCTCGTGGGCTTCAAGGGAAGAAGAAAAGTTCTGCAGCTTGAGGAGTCCCTCCTTTTTCATTTTAAATATTATTTTTATTTTAACAAATAAATTTTTAATGAATTAACGGTCAAATTTAATAGTTCGTCAAACTTCATCCATTTGAAGTAATAAAATAAAATATTCAAGTACTAAACTGAAATAAAATAAACGTTTTATATACTTAAGCCTAAATTTAACATACTGTAAACCACGATGGACCTGGTCATATATTTTAACTATATTAAAAGAAGTAAAATTATTATACTAATATATTTAAATTTTATTAAAATAACATATTCGAACCCAGACTTTGTTGACGGTAAATAACAACGGAATGATGAATATACCGGCAAACTTATTCATAAACTCAGAAAGCTCAATTGCTCAGGCTTTCAAATAGAAACACTATTAGGAACACCCATCCCTGTAACCCCAGGCTCCGAAAATGGCTTCAGAAGCTCATAAGGTGTAATGCCTGCTCCATTTCGGTTCTTTAAATTACAGTCTCCATTCCTTTCATCTATAATGCCTTCAACTTGCTTCAACTTCCCATGAAGTCTTTCGAATGCAGCTCTTATAACCGGGTCTTCCACCCACGATGGCTCCGGTTTGTCCCCCACATACTCCTCATCAGGAGAATGATGCGAGATCACATCCCAAACCGCCATTGCTCGAGTTGCTTGAATCTGAGAAGGCAAACATTCGAGTAATGCAACTTCGGGTTTTCTCAAGAATCGTCGCCATTCGTTGTCGGTAGGGTCTTCGTTCGGCATTTTAGCTCTCGTGAACGAAGGCCTGCTAGGGAAGTACCCTGCATACGTGTATTGTCCGAAGTTGACAGCGGCATGCTGACCTGTTGCAACCCAAATTATAGTCATGAGGATCTCGATTAAGTCTTTCGGGGTTTTAAGAACCGGCCACCATGGTTCATCTTTCTTGTCACCGTGCCCGACGGTTCGGATTTCGGTCCACCATGCTTGAAGCTCTTGATCAGCTTCTACCATGCTCGGGTTCGGATAGTAGTGATTAACATACTCAGTAACCCATTGTTTGAGGGCATCCCAGAGTAAGAGACCATCACTGGCATAAGGGTAGTCTTTGATTGTTAGCCTAAGGCCTTGAGGAACACTTGGATCTTCTTCCGCCATTCCCCTGCAAAATATGAAACAAAATGTAATAAAAAAACAAAAACCCATTATCAACAATTAAAAGAAAAAATAGATAACCAAGAAATCATATATACCTGCTAATCAAATCTGCAGGCAATGATTGTTGATCAAACCGCCAATGTTGGTCGTAAAAGACGGAGCCAACCTCTAGATAATACTTGCCAAGGGTCATGATTTTCTCAATCGGTCCATCAGCAGCGACTAATGATTCTCGGGCCAATGCATTGATCTCCATCGTGTACCGGAGATGAGGATGCAGTAGTCGATAAATCGGATGCATCACACTGAGACATCGATTGGTTGCAATCACATAAGGTTCACCACAAGCGTGAGTTCTCAACCTGCAAAGCACAGTTTCAGGTTTCCTATGCTAAAAGAATTATAATATTTGGAGGAAAACAATCAAGAAATTGAATCAGTGAAATTATATTAATACCAGTGACTAACAAGCTGGTGGTAGATTGAATCATGAGCAAGAACTTGTGTTTTGGCAAGTTTCCAAAGCCAATCTCCGGTGGAATGCAAACAAGGCGTGTAAACTTCCTTCCATTGTGGTTTTCCGTCCATCGGTGGTCGAGTTAGCTCGATGGCTATCGGCTTCAAAGTCTCGTCAGGGTTCAAGAAAAATATGGTTCGTGATCCGTAAAGTGCACGGCCTTTAAGATCTCTAACTCTCTCAGCGTAGGGTAGGAACAAGTCATGATAATCAAGGATGAATAGTCTCTTTTGATCTATCGCCTGCATAAGTGGAAATTGAATAAAAAATAGCATGTTATGTATGCAAATAAAATATAAGCAACGCAGCTGAAAAAATGTTATTCAGATTACCTTATGGACAGTCATGACTTCATTGATTTCTCGTTGAATAAGGTCGGTGGTGATTGCGGATTCTGCAGGACCGTAGGTTTCAGGGTCGAGTATGCTCTTCAATGGCCATTCCTGTAACCAACAATGATAAATTAAACAAAAAAACTCTGAATTATACACGCACAAAAAATCATAACAATTACAATCTGTGTCCCCTTCCCACCGTCACAAGTTTTATGCTAAGAGGGTTAAGTCCAGCAAGAGTTTGCCTAGCAAATTCCTCATCCCTCAACCAAAAGAATTTGTCTCCTGCAAAAGCCAAACCACACAAGATTACTCGAGTGTTTCATAGGAGACGGTGGATCAGAAACCTTAAAATAAGGACCATAACGTTATGTTGCGATCGAAGTTGCTTACTGTCCAATGTTTCAGGCGTCTCGAAGCGCAAAATACTGTGAGCTTCATCGGAGACGGTCTTGATGAGCCTAGGGAGGACTGATTTCCAAAGCTCTTTCTTATCAAGGGTTGGCAAGTTAAGCCCTTGAGTGTAAAGCTCGTCGATGGCGTTGAAGTTTGGAAATCCCATATCAGGGTCGAGGATCGAAGCTTCGAGCGATGGTATTATTGCCGTCAACATCGAGTATATGAAATTCGTGGAGAAAGTCAGCTGCTTCACCTCCGAAAATGCTTCGTCCCTCGGCACGTAGAAACCTTCTTCCCATTTCTCGTAACTCGGATCTGCACCAACACCATCATTTGATACAATCTTACAACTAGCGTTACGATTTGTACATGCAGACTTGTTAAAGTGGTGTAATAGGTTATATTACCTGTGCGGCAACGAGGACGTCCAGTTCGGCAACGGCGAGGATAGGGAAAGTCTTTGCCCCCAAGAATCGATCGTTTCTTGGTTGGTTCAGTGTCGATGTCGCCAAGGTCGTTGTAAACATCGTAATCGTAAATTCTTTCTGAGGATTTGCGCTCTCCTTGCCCATTTCCTTGTAAATTCAAGAGCTCATCTTCTCTAAGTTTCCTCAATCCACTTGGTGTCTCAGATGGCAAATACGACTGCTCCATAGGGGTTTTCAAACTTTTAAAAACAATATCAATGGTGATATATATATATATATATATACAATCTAAGAAAACAAAGTAAAATTCTTGACCTTGTTGGTGAAGAAGACTCTGTTTCGAGGATTATCAAATTTCGAATGTACCCACGAATTACAGTTGACGCTAACAGTTCCATTCGGCACACCATCAAACACTATGTCCTCAATAAATATTTCCTTATGATGCTCGTTTTCAACAACAACAGCACCGATCTCACCAAAATCTGCAGGGAATTCGAACTCGGCTTCATACTTAACATTGCTCCCATCCTTGCTTACACGATGTGCATAACCTTTAATTCTTTTCTTCTCTAATCCAGTCTCTGCAAAATCTCATAAACAACTTCATGAAGCAAAAGATTTCATCATCCCAGAAACAAACAAAAAAAGGGTTGTCTTGGTTACTTACTAGGATCAAGGTGGGCAGCAACAAGCTCCAAGAGCAGTGTTTTGCCAAGCAAATCTTGGATTTCATCAAGGCCTTGTTGTATGCCTATGTTTTTTATAAAACTAGTGACGGTTTGCTTTGCAACGACTGTAGCCTTAACAGCAACAGATTTATCTGTAGTGTTTGTTAGAGTCGCTTTAACAGGAGTGGGGCGGAACACAAGTTTAACATTTTTACGTGTTTGATTGATCTTTGAGTTATGGAGTGGGAGAAAAGCTAGGGTAGAGAAGCCATGGATGAATTGACTGGGGAAAGGAAGTAAGTTTCTGATGAAACGGGATTGATGAATCTGCTGTGGCTTCAACATTGTTTAGTTGACGTTGTGGTTTACTACTTTTAGAAGAGATATTTCGCCGCTTGAAGCTTTGCTACTGCCTTATAAAGGGACGGGGGACCTGAAATCCATTGATTTACGCAGTTATTTTCAAGCAATAATAACTTTCACGTAATATGGTGTTTGGTGAAACAGGATAAATGATGTAAAAAAATTGAAGATATATCGAAAGTAATTATCATGGCACTCAACACATAACATCTATATGACAATTTAAAACATGATTATTTATTAAGGGCTCAATTGAAAAATCGAACAAAGGTTGAGGGCTTCTTTTGCCATTATGCTTTCAAATAGTAATACTACTAGGAACACCTATTCCTGTAACATCAGGCTCCGAAATTGGCTTCAAAACCTCGTAAGGTGTAATGCCTGCTCCATTTCGGTTCATCAAATTACAGTCTGCATTCCTTTCATCTATAATGCCTTCACCAGTTCACCTTGCTTCAACTTCCCATGAAGTTTTTCAAATGCAGCTTTTATAACAGGGTTTTCTTCCCATGATGGCTCCGGTTTATCTCCTATGTACTCTTCATCAGGATGATGATGTGACATCACGTCGCATACAACCATTGCTCGAGTTTCTGGTTTCCTCAAGAGTCGTCGTCAGTGGAATCTTCGTTCGGCATTTTAGTTCTGGTGAACAAAGGCCTACCAGGGAAGTACCCTGCATATGTGTATAGTCCGAAGTTGACAGCCGCATGATGACACGATGCAACCCAAATTATAGTCATGAGGATCTCGATTAAGTCTCTCGGGGTTTTAAGAACCAGCCACCACGGTTCATCTTTCTTGTCACTGTGCCCGACAGTTTGGATTTCGGTCCACAATGCATGAAGCTCTTGATCGGCTTCTACCATGCTCGGGTTCGGATAATAGTGATTAACATACTCAGTAAGCCATTGTTTGAGGACATCGCATAGCATGAGACCATCACTGGCGTAAGGGTAGTCTTTGATTGTTAGCCTAAGGCCTTGAGGAGCATTTGAATCTTCAACAGCCATTCCCCTTGAAAAAGATGAAACAAAATGCAATAAAAAAAATTGATCAATAATTAGAAAACAATGAGATAATTAAGAAATTATACCTGCTAATCAAATTTGCAGGCAATGATTGCTGATCAAATCGCCAATGCTGGTTGTAAAATACCGAGTCGACCTCTAGCTAATATTTGCCAAGGGTCACTAGTTTCTCATTTGATCCATCGGCGCAGCTTAATGATTCTCTGCTCAACGTGTTGATCTCCATTGTGTACTGGAGATGAGGATGCAGTAGTCGATAAATAGGATGCATCACAGTAAGTTGTCGATTGGTTGCAATGACATAAGGTTCACCACAAGCGTGAGTTCTCAACCTGCAAAACACAGTTTCAGGTTTCCTATGTTGTCCAAACAAATCAAGAAATTGAATCAGTGGAACTATATTAATACCAGTGATTAACAGGCATGAGATGGATCAAATCATGTGAAAGAACGTGAGTTTTGGCAAGTTTCCAAAGCCAGTCTCTGGTAGAATGCAAACAAGGCGTTTATACTTCCTTCCATTGTGGTTTCCCGTCCATCGGTGGTCGAGTTAGCTCAATGGCTACCAGCTTCAAAGCCTCGTCAGGGTTCAAGAAAAATATGGTGCGCGATCCATATAGTTCTCTGCCTTTAAGATCTCTAACTCTCTCAACGTAGGGCAGGAATAAGTCATGGTAATTTAGGATGAATAGCCTCTTTTCATTTATTGCCTGCATAAATGGAAAATGAATAAAATATATCATGTCATGTCTGATTCGAATTACCTTATGAATCGTCATGACTTCATTGATTTCTTGTTGAATAATGTCGGTGGTGATTGCGGATTCTGCAGGACTGTAGATTTCAGGGTCGAGTTGCTCTTAAAAGGCCATTCCTATAACCAACAATGATATATTAAACAAAAAACTCAAAATTATACACAAAAAAAATCATAACAAGGACAATCTGTCTCCCCTGCCCACCGTCACAAGTTTTATGCTGAGAGGGGTTAGTTCCAGCAAGAGTTTGCCTAGAAAATTACTAATCCCTCAACCAAAAGAATGTCTCCTGTAAAGGCCAAACTACATAAGTAAACATCATCTACCATCAAAATTACGATTGTGAAAGTGCTTCCGAGGTATATATTGGAGACGGATGGATCAAATATCTTAAATTAAATATTGGAAAGTTATGTCGCAGTTGAAGTTGCTTACTGTCCAATGCTTCAGGGGTCTCGAAGCGCAAAAAACCATGAGCTTCGTTGGAGACAGTCTTGATAAGCTTAGGGAGTACTGATTTTCAAAGCTCTTTCTTATCAAGGGATGGCAAGTTAAGCCCTTAAGTGTACATGATGTTTTTAGAGAAATTCAGCTGCTTCGGCACATAGAAACCGGCTTCTCATTTCTCGTAACTCGGATCTGCAATAAAACCATTTTATGCATTCTTATTATTCAGGTTATGTTTTGAATACGGACTTGTTAAAGTGGTTTTATTGGTTATCTTACCTGTGCGGCAACGAGGACGTCCAGTTCGGCCATGGCGAGGATATGGGAAGTCTTTGCTGCCGAGAACCGATCATTTCTTGGTTGGATCGGTGTTGACGTCGCCCAGGTCGTTGTAAACATCGTAATCGTAAATCCTTTCGAAGGATTTGCGCTCTCCTTACCCGTTTCCTTGTAAATTCAAGAACTCTTCTTTTCTCAGTATCCTCAATCCACTTGGCGTCTGAGATGGCAAATATGACTGCTCCATATGATTTTTTCAAGCTTTAGATAACGATTCAATAACAAAAAATTTCTTTTAAAAAAAGTAAAAATCTTGACCTTGTTGGTGAAGAAGATTCTGTTTCGAGAATTATCAAACTTGGAATGAACCCAAGAATTACAGCTGATGCTAACAGCTCAATTCGGCACACCAGCAGACGCTATGTCCTCAATAAACATTTCATTATGATGCTCGTTTTCAGCAACAGCACCGATCTCACCAAAATCTGCAGGGATTTCAAACTCGGTTTCGTACTTAACATTGCTCCCGCCCTTGCTTACACGATGTGTATGCCTTGTAATTCTTTTCTTCTCTAATCCAGTGTCTGCAAAGTCTCATAAGATACTTCAAGAAAAATTTCAACATCCCAAAAACAAAAACAAAAAAGGGTTGTCTTGGTTACTTACTAGGATCAAGGTGGGCACTAACAAGCTCCAAGGGCAGTGTTTTGCCGAGCAACTCCTGGATTTCATCAAGGCCCTCTTGTATACCTATGTTTTTGATAAAACTAGTGACGGTTTGCTTTACAATGACAGTAGCCTTAACAGCAACAGGTTTCTCTGGAGTGTTTGTTAGAGCTACTTTAACAGGAGTGGGGTGGAACCCAAGTTTAACATTTTTACGCGTTTGATTGATCTTTGAGTTACAAAGTGGGAGAAAAGCTGGGGTAGAGAAGCCATGGATGAATTGACTGGGGAAAGGAAGTAAGTTTCTGATGGAACGGGATTGATGAATCTGCTGTGGCTTCAACATTGTTTTGACAGTACTGTTTTACACAACTCAGGAGATAATTCGGTGCTTAAAGCTTGCTAGTAGCCTAGTACATATAGAAGGAAGAGACGAGTTGAACTTGATTCATTAACGCAATTGTTTTTATGATTTATGAAATAATGACAACCTTTCATGACATGTATGTTTCCAGTGGACAATTAGTAAATGAAACGTCTGCTTCAAGTCAAGAGTTCGTAAATCGATTATACGAAGTGAAAATTGGCTCATATGAGTCGAAGATTTTTATAATGAATTGGGGAAGGAAGGGGGCATGTTAAAAGGAAAGCTTGATACAAGCAAGAAGCTGTGAATATAATTGTTGATAATGGAATCCACGGCCAACCAATGCGGCAGCAGCGGAAAACAATAATAAGATTTACGAGTGGTTGTATTCTATGATACGCAGTGTAATCGACTTTCGTTCCAACGCCATCACCTAGAAGCAATGCATCAGGTCAAAGCTGAGCTCGGTACCAAATGATGAAGGTCAAAGGCCGAGACCTAGAATTCAATGTAGGCACCACTTGATGTCGGGATGCAAATCAGGGTAGATGACTCGACAGTCGACACAAATGGCCTTGATTAGTTGACTTCGCTGCTGGAAGCCTTGCAAGTTCATATAAAGGGAAAGGGCGACCTGAAATCGATTGATTTTCCCTATTATTTTTTAAAACAATAATGATAAATAATAACTTTCAGGACGGGTCGGTTTCAAGTGCAAAGTTTAGTAAGTTGATGTCTCTATTTGTCAACCTCCTGTTTATATCTTTTATATTGAAAACATCATTTGTTGAGCCTATTAAATTTCCAATTTTAATCTAACTGTTCTTATTTAATTTAAAATTTGTAATTTAAATACGAATTTTAACATTAAACAATTTGTTAAATATAGTATTTTGCTTTAGTGTCTACCATTAAGTAGAACCCTGAAGAAATAGACATAGATACACGTGTTCGATATTGTTTCAGAATGGTAATGATAATAGTAAACATGTTCAACATACTCTGCAATCATATTTTAACAAAGATATCCCATTAAACACCACCAGAAAACTGACTTTAAGTTAGATAAATATTAACATAGCTCAAATTTTAAACAGAGAAGGAAAAAAAATATCTTTCCTAAAACCCATGAATGCTGCACCATCTAGGATGATAATAAACATTAGTCCTGTAAATAGAATATCTTATATTGACCTACAGGCGATATCAATCGGGGAATAGTTAGTACGAATGAGATGATTTTGGGTCCAACAGAAGTAGATCCTAAACCTTTAAAAAGATGAAAATTAGCTCTAGTAAATAAATGGAGAAACAAAAGTTTATGTGAATGGCTTAGCATTTGCTTACCATGTCAATAAATGCAAATGCCTATCATCTTCTTCATCTTAAGGGCATTTTCTTTGGATGTATGAAGCTCCATGTTCTTCATACCTGTCAACCGCATGCATTTGAAATTAAGTAATTTACTATAACCTACTATATGTTTATTGCTACTGATGTTCTGTTGATAACATCGAGATCGCAATATGAAAAGGGAAACATGATGCTTACTCGGACTTGGAGAACCACATTTGCTGGAATGAACCAAGAGATGCCAATATACTACCTCCTATCCAAACACTGTTTATACATATACGCAGAGCATTTAATGCAAGTAAAACAAAATTCTTATCATAAATTTACACAAGCTTATGATAAAAAAAATGACAAACTATAAAAGGTAATAATAAGTTCTTTTGGCCTTGTTATGAATGGATTAGATTATGACGACTTTGGTAACGTTAATCAACAGAAGGTCAACCATTATGGTGTTTCATCATTCATCTTATAGGTTCATGTTATATTTTCCCTTCGCAGTTTCCATGCTACTTTCCTTAATCTATAAGCTTAAGTAATTATGTGTGCTACAGCATATGTGACAATCATTAGTTAACAACATATTTAACTGGCAAGCGCAAAAGAATTTAGGTAATGTTTTGAGAACTTGGATTTCAAAGATAGTGTAAATTGAGTAAAAAAATGCAGGCAGTCATCCTTAATTCTCAAACCCATGGATTTGTTAGATGCCTACATCACTGATATAAATTTGGATTTGATAAATCAATGCTTTTATGCTATTCAACTATATATTATATCAAATCTTAACTATTTACCACTAATGTATACATTTCATTCTTTATAATTTAAATAGCAGATGAAATACAAATCCAAATTCTGAATCCAAGTACGGAGCATTAGAGAATTTGAGAGAAGTGGGTTCTCAAAAATGAAAGAATAAATCCAGCAACAAAGAACATTGCGATGGCTCAAAAAGGAAAATGCATTTCTCATGACCAGAAAAGAATAAAAATTGCTAAGCAAAACAGATGAAGAGGTAGAACAAAAAAAAAATGAAATAAAACCAGAACGAACCTGAATCTTCTTTCTGTTGCATTTCCACTTGCCAATACTTTAACTCTAGCAGCTTGAGGAGATTCCTTCATATTGACAGACAATGGTAGAGTTATTTTGCTACCAAAATTTTTATTCTACCAACATGCAGAACTATGACAGAAGAAGCTACGGTGATAAGAAATCATGTTTTCAAGGATTATGTCAGACCATCAACAACTGTTATTACAGAAAAAAAATATAAATGCAACAACATTAAATCAAGCTATAGGATCATAAAGAGACAAAAATACTTGTGCAGGAATGGAAAACAAACAACAATACCTCTAGCAAGTCTTTCTCAAGTCGTTCTTTCAACTGTTGCATAGATGCTGTGCCACCAGCAAGCTGCAATATAAATGAATAGCAGAAGTGATAATATCAGTGCACAAAGATATATGCCTTAAAAGATAATACATGTTTATCAATAAAATTATTAATGCACATTTTATCCAGTCAAATAAGCTACTTGTTCTGGCAATAATATAAAAAAGAAACTCGAGACGAAAAAATTATCAGGACACTTGAGGACAGGCTTGTTTGAGTGTGGCTGACTTACCAATATACTGCCAAACAATTCTTTCCTGATGTCAACATCACATCTATTGATGCTTTCTATGACCTGCAAAAAATAGGGAAAAAATGCTTAATTAAGTAATCATTGTAAAAATATAAGAGGCTGATATTAAAGGCAAAATGCATGAAGTAAACTAGCATACCATTTGTGGCAAACCACGAGCAGATGAAATCTCAGCAAAATTGTCCACTCCAGGAATTGTCTAGTAAAAAAAAAGAAAATCAGAAATAATATCAACATACACACTTAAATTATTAATGGAAAAATATACTCTAGTTATGCAAGAAAAATATATAAATAAACAGAAAATTGCAATTTTAAGACCATGTACATTAGACAAATCCAAAATAAGCTAATGAACAAGTTTAAGACCATGTATATTTTATCAGTGTCATTAAAAAATGCAGAATGCATATATCTTCAGGACAAAAGTTTCAAAGTGAACAATGTTCAAAAGAACATCAATTGACAAGAAACATGCTGGTGAAGCTTGTTGGAAAGAATTGCTTATTGAATAAGCGCCTTAAGATTTATTTTTGTTTATTTACTACGTTTTAGGAGTTTATTTTGTAAAAAACTAGATAAAAGCTTTCTTGTTTTTATGCCGACTATTTTGCATTCTTTAGTGTTACAATTATTTTCAAAGCATTAGAGCTACACTGGTATTTAACATCTAAATATAGATTTGAGGTTCAATTTCTGGTTGCATTAAATAATGAAGATTTTGATTGAATTCTGATTTCTCTAACCTAGGATCATTTTGCTTTCCTCTCCTGATTATTCTATTTCTTTCCTAATCCCTCTATTCCCCAAATTTCTTCCATCTCTTGTTTTTCTATAATCACTGTCTCACACTTTCCACTTCTAGTCAACAACACAAGCTAATACCCCCAACAGAACTTCGATACAAATAAATTTTAAGAAAAACAAACAGCAAGTGCACAAAAAGCATTAAAAAAATGAAATCAAGATCTCCAAAGTTTAAAGACCACCTACCTGAGCCAAAGATGGGTTAAACAGAATATCAGGGATCTTGAATCTATCAGCACCAATTTCAATTGTCCTGAATTAACATAAAAGAAAATGCAAGATCAATTAATATTAGTAGCAATAGAAATCGAGATCCAAGGAACAAAAGCAACCTGATTATGCCAACAAACCGGTGCTAATTGGGAAGCGGATGAATTAGCTAAAGCTGGCATAGGCTGATTTTAGTTGTGTAATTGTTAAGGTGTTATGTCTCGGTTGTTACTATTTAAAGTGTATTAGGGTGTTTATGCTTTCAGAATTATGGTTGTTCTGTTTTGTAAGAACTTGTTGTTGTTGAGGTGTGGAGGTGTATTATTGTTCCTATTAATAAAAGTTAGAGGCACTCTTTCCATCCTTCCAATGTCCTTCATGTTATGTTTGTAACATGGAGGATAAGAAGGGGGTTTTAATGAGGCCTTATTCTATCAAAAAAAAACTAGTACGGAACTCACTGGCCATCAGGAAGCTCGTATGGGGTCATTGGGATATTTGAATATGAACTTTCTGCAAGGGAAAAGACAATCATAAAGCTGTAAAATCAAATTAACAACATCAACGTCAAGCGAAAGAGATTTTCCAAAAAAGCATAATGCCACAGGTAGCATTCCAGCTACAGCAAACAAGGATCTTTGAGATATTATTGAAGGCAGCTTCTATGATTACGAACATACATAACATACAAACATAAAATAGGAAATAAAAGGATGAAGTGGCATGACTTCAAAAGAAAAGAAGACGGCAAACGAATACAAACCATCATATGGAGTATCTGGAGCTCGACAGACACATTCCTTGATATCACTTGCAATCACTCTCTGTTGTAAGAAGATATACAAAGGTATTACAGGAACGAACTTGTCAATTTGGAAAGGGATGACAATGATTAAAAACAAACCTGGGAGTAAAGCTTGTAGGATTCTGTTGTGTGTGGCAAATCAACATCTACAGTCTGAAATTCCCAAAAAAAAAGTAAAGAGAATTTTCAGAAAGTAACGTAGGTTATTTACTCGAAACTAATAGGAACAAGAAAAAGTAAAACAGCTGCTGGAGTAAATTTCCATTAGAGTATGTTGCAGTTTCAAGAAAACTTCTCTACTTTGGCAAAACAATTATGATCAGAAGAACAGGACACACATCAAGTCCGTTTGCCTTCTCTTTTAAGATTTAAGTTATACTATATAGCATATATTAAAATAATGTATCCCCCCCACGCCAATACCATAAGAAAAGAAGGGGAAGGGAATGTTTATCAATGTTCAATTTTTTAACTATTACTCTGACAGTTAAAATTCAAATTGCTGAAACATCGCACAGAAAGCAGGGAGTGATGCGATCTCCCACTTGACACATTTGAGCAGTATCAAGGATTTCAAAATGAGTCTCAAAACCTTAAAAGGATTTTCGTACAACAGTGTTGTCAAAGAAAATAATTGAACAGGTTTTTTGTCTAATTTCATTAGGATTGCCAGTGTTATCAAAGAAGTAGAACTTGAGAAGACACGTATGCATGAAATTCAAGAAACAAAAGCAATTAATGGCATAAACCTTAAATCGGTTGTAGTGATATTATAAAATACCTGGAACACCCCCGGTTGGATTTCCTTTCTCTTAAAAGAGTACCTTGGCTTTATCTACAAACATCAGGAAAGCGAATAGTTTAAATTGAAGCAATGAAAAGTGACACGGGAATCTCGTCAATTACTTAATACCATCACTTACCACGATGCCTTTGCTTTCCAAGCTTTTCATCAAGCAATATGTAAGAAATTCTCCTCCAATAGGAGAAGAAGAAACTGCCTGTTTATTGCAACCAAAAAACATGGTAACAAGAGAAAGGTAAAAACAAAGGAAGTTCATTTTCAGTATAAAAATTAAGAACGCTGCAGAATTTTGCTTTCCCAGCAAATCACTACTTGGCATAAGAAAATGAAGAGTGCAACAATCAACTAATAAAGCCAAGGTGCATATTCGGCCTCAGTTATAAATTTTTTAAGAGTGGGAATCTGCAAACATATTGCCAACTCCAGTCACAAGATCAGAAATTTTCCCAGAAAAAGCTCTCCAATATACAATTAATTTTGTTTCCTTTCCAGACTAACTCAACATTGAATAATTTTTTGGGGGAAAAGGCCAATCTGAGCAGCAAAGTAGACAGACAGGGGGAATACCTTTTGAAGAACATAACCATCATGTACTGGGGCAACCATTGTTGATCCTCCACCACTAAAGAAATTAATAGTTATACATAAAAACATGTAAGTAAAAGAAAGCAAGTAAAACTTGATTTAAGGGATGGATTCTGGCTTTAGGTTCTGAACCCAAAAGCCTCTGCAGGCTATTTATGTACCGTTCGTTCATGAAAGAAACAAAAGAGAGCATCAGTTTTGTCTCTGTTTCCACAATGTAATAGAACCACTCTCTGATTACACGAAAATTTAAGAATATAAATCATACCTATCAATAACAACAGAGGTAGCACGTCCTGACGCAAATGATGTAAGAACCTGGCATTGAAAAGAACTGCAATCAAACCCAACTAAAAAATACAGAAAGATTTGGAAGTGAGGAAAATGGTAATACCGCATTCTTGGCCAAAAACAGAGCAGGAACTTTGTACTTTTCAAACATGAGTTCCGCTGTCCTGTTAGATTTTAACAAAACCAAACAGCATGCTTTCAGATTGGAGAAAGAAGAAGGCAAAGAAAATTAACATAGCTGAGGGCTAGGAAAATCTGACTTCTCCCTCTGTAGTTGAGTGTTGGAAGAAGGTTCAGCAAGTAGCATCGGATGTTCCTTAGGATCAATGAGTAAACAATCCTTGAAAGCATGATCCCAGATGTTATCAACAATATCCCAATCAACAACAACCCCATCCTTTAGGGGAGACACCACCTGAAGGAAGGAAGCAGCTGTCAACTATGTAATGCATACATAAATAGTAAATAATTAAGTGAACTAACACGAAAAAGCAAGTATCATCAAGCAAAGACCTCACCTCCATATGGTCACGGCGAAAACCCAAGGCTTGAGAGCCTACATACAATTTGCGTTTTCCTTTGGGTTTGTTGGAATCAGCATTATTGTTGTTAGTCTCAGAATCGTTGTTTTCTTTGTCATCATCAGCATCCATTTGATCAATGCATCCCACAACCTTAACAATCCAACAAAAAAACATCAACAACGAAGAATAAGAGTCGGTCGAAAAACAGAACGCAGAAATTAGAAAGAAAGAAGCATGGACTTGTCTTACAGATGGAAACACAGCCTTAGGAGCATCTTCGCCAGCATAACCAGCTTTGCAAGTGTGGGACCCTAAGTCTATCACTATAGCCGATACTTCATCTGTGCATGTTAATTATTAAGTATAGTTACTTAATTTTGAGATTCAAGAAGTAAGCAAATCATCACTGTAACAACACACGCACGCAATGCCTAATGAGGATAAATTTTCTTACTACTCACCCCCTCCGTACATGGCTGCAACTAAGAGTGAAACCGAGCTATACAGGCGATAAAAGTTCCGAGATGTGGCCGCAGTCACGGATTAGATGGACAGACGGCGAAAATGCTACCGGCACGGCGTTGGAAAGAGTTCTCTCTATTTTTCTTTAATTTGTAATTTGAGCTTTTAGGTTTCGAGGGTTTCCAATTTTCCTTTTCTAACTAGGACTTCTGGTTGGGCCTTTTGAAGATTTATAAGGTTTTTCCCTCCTTTCTACAAAATTTGTAAATAAACAAAATAAATGCAAGTCCTTTTCACTATTTCATAAAATGTTAAATATTACAAATCACATGGGAAAAATGAAACATAGTATTATATATTACTACTTGATAGAATATTTTATTTATGTAATTAATGAAAATAATAAAACTCACATCATATATATATATATATATATATTATATATAACAAAAATATTCAAGCATAAAATTTTAAGTTTTTACGGATGGCACTTCAATTAAGTTTTTAAAATCTATTATTTTTAAAAAATAAAATTTATAATTAATTCTTTAATACATTTCAAAAAATTCACAGAATTATTGTGTTTTTAAAGTGCATCTTTTTTACTAATTAAAGTGCATCTTTAAATACATTACAAATAAGATAAGAACTATAATTAAATTTAAATTATTACATATTAATTTTTATCTATTTTCATTATTATATATATTAAATACGTTGAGAATAGTTAATATTTTGTTCATTTAATGATTTAATGAATAAAATAAATAATTAAATAATATATTCTCATATATATATATATATATATATAAGCAATTTAAGCGCAGGCGAACTGTAGGAAGTAAGAGAAGATTCATTAGATCATTTAGCCTTGATGTTAACAATTAGCAGTAAACTATCAATAACCAGGGTGTAGAATTCACTATAAATTCTAAGCAAACCGTATGCCTCTCAACAGACAATAAAGGAACATACACATTATGCATTCATACATACAATGGTAAGTATATCTTTCCATGGAACACCTCAGTTGTTTGTGAAGATGTGTCCCAAGTTCTCAAACCATAATCTAAATAACATAATCAGACATGGATAAAAGAGGTTTTAGAGACGGTCGCTCTCTCTCCTACAAATTTCAAATTATAATAGTTTAAAGAGAGTACAAGTACTAAAGAACATAATCTTCAGTTTGATCACTCTCCTTCTTGAATTTTCCTTCCTCTTGCTACCGTTTTCATCTTCTACATTTTTCTCGGAAATATTTCTCATTTTATTCTCTCTTTTTTCTCTGGTATTGCATCTTGCTTTCTGCCTCTTGCTATCTGAGTCTCTAATAGGAAAGTTTGTTTGCTCTTATTGTATGGCACCTCCCCCTCCTGTTTCACCATACCCCACAATAACCGTAGTTATATGTAGTTACATAACAAATTTTTTTGTAAGCTTCAAATCCCAACACGTCCAGGAAGTTTCCTTAATCCTTAAAATTTTGCATCTCTAATTGTTCTTCTCGAATCTCTTAAGAATGGAATGCCCTGTTTGAAGACAATAATGTAATTTCTTTGCATTCTAGGAAATATATGATGAGGTAGCTATATACTCCAAACACCATGCAGCTAGGAGCAGCTGCAGATATTTCTATTTTAAGCTACTTATATGTTTGGGGGGAAACCGTCTGAAACCACATATTTTGTTCTCCACTATGGAAGATATATGAGAAAGAATAAGTCAGGTCAGGGCAGTTGCTCCTAAAATTTTTAAATTCTTATATAATTTATGTATAGTTATTTTCTGCTTCTTCTTTTTTGTACTTTTTACACCTAAAATTTTATAAGTTCACCTCCTAATATAAAATCTTACGTCCGTCATTGGAATAAGTGATAGCTGAGAGTACATTAATAAACTAGCTATTTTGGTTCTAAAGGTTCTATTCTCTACCTGAAAGGATTTATAGCAGTATTAGTACAAGGTAACATGTTTAGTTGTCTTTATATGATCTGCCCCATGGATCATGTTACCTAAAAACGTTAACAGAATAATATAGTACCCAAATCTTGTTTTGTTTATCACATGAAGCCACATGTAGAGAAACTAGGGAGATCAAGAGAAAGATGATTCAATTTAGAATGGTTCAATTTATGCGGACTTTCTCTGCACAAAGAAAAATAAATTCAGGCAAAAAGTAGAAGTGGAAAGAGCCAAAAAGAATGGAAACAAACAGTGATTAGCACAAATATCACACACAATATGCTTGTGATCTTCTCAAAGAAACTCTACTGTTTCTGATGTTTTCTTAAAATGACAGGATACTGTGAATAAAGTTTACTCTTATCCCTAAATCTACCGCAAAACAAGAGTTGCAGATACAGTAAAAGTAAGAAAACTGCAAAAATGTTGAAAGAGAATTGGACTTCACTTCTCTTTCTTCCTCGGATCTCTAGACAGTAGGCAAGCGCTGGGGTCACTTGTTTTGGTTGGGATTCGAAGCACTCGGTGGTGCTTTTCTAAGACTTGTCTCCAAAGGATCTTGAATGGCTTCACTCAACTTGCTTAGATTTGCAGAAACAGAAGCAAAAGAACCAAGCAATATCCTCGGTTGATTTCTAACTCTTGGATGAGTGTTTCTCCAACAATGAAGCGACATCGGAGAACAGATGAGTAGATGAAAGAGTATTAAGGCAAAGACAGCAAACAATGCTCTACGAATGAATTTCATATTGATCTACTTTGGAAAAGAAATGTAACAGAGATGACTTGGGAGGTAAGATATTGAGAGATAATCTTCAGGAAAGGTGACGGTACATGTCTTGACTAGGTATCATATGCTTAAACTAAATTCAACAGTTTAGAGAAAACTAATGGCAGCGAAGTAGGGCAGAAGGTCCATTAAAATAATCAAGTGCCTGTTGGGATTTCCACAAATAATGCAGATTAGAATATCTTCTTGATCAGATTTATTCTTATTCAAATGAGATGGGGAACTTAGAAGCAGCTGCTGATCATGTGACACTGGATTTCAAAACTATTATTCTGTGTATTTTCTGCAATCCTCAAATATTAGATAACATGTCTCATGTGACCAATCACATGAGATCAAAACCACTTGCATCTGTGTAACAAATACAGCTAAAGTTAGCTGGGTAATCCTGCTTTCTGCAAAACAATCAATCACAATCTTTCTAGGAAAATGCCTTTCCAATTGACTCCTTTGAACTGCACTGGCCACTGGGGTTATAGCAGGATCTTCTCCTTTCTAGCTTAATATCCTTCTTTGTATGCAATCATAAAAGATTGCAGAAGAAGTGAAGATTTGAGAAGTAAAGTCTATATTTTGTATGCAACCAAATCATTGGAAAAGAAGCATTGAACAAAACCTTGCAATTTTCATGAGCAAAATAAGATAACCCATCCAAATAATACCAAGAAATAGTCAGGCTAATTTTACTTTACATCTCATAGAAGCATTTTGTCATACACATGGATACAAGTTTAAGGAAAAGTGGAAATGGGTATTGAGATTTGGTTACAAACGATAATAAATACCAACAGTTTTCCCATAAGATAAGAGCCAAATTTTCACAGCTTATCTTAATTTATTATGAAACAACAAATCAAAAAACACAAATTAAGAAATTAAAGCAGTTGAATTGCCACGTAGGTTACTACATTAGTGCCAAAGTCAACATATTTTTCTTAAATAAGATGATCACATGTGTAGTCATTTTATTGAATAATATCAATTTGTTATGTAAAAATATATGAAATTTAAGAATAATTAAATTATTTGAATTTGATAAGTTTTCATCCGATTTTTTAAGATTAATTTGTAAAATATCTAAATTAATTAAATTTCATAAAAAAATTAAATCAAATTCAATAAAAGAATATATTGTTCGAATCAAAATCAGAACAAACGGAAACTCAACTCATGATCATCCATGAAAGTTACAGAAGTCCAGAGTAGCTAAACAGGGCAAAGACGGCAGTCGGAATATTGTACTCGTGCATTAATTATGTAATTAAACAAACGACATGGAATTATGGGCGCATGGAGCGGAACTCAACAAAATAATTGTGCCATAATAACACATTTCTAGTCCGGCAGTCCGCCTTCTTTCTCTCCCCTCTCAAACACACAAACACTCGCAAATCCAATGCCATATTTCTATTCACTCTATAAACCCTAAATTCATCCCCAATTTCCATATCGAACCTCCTCCTTAATTACTCAGATTCCCATCTGCTCAAGTTTCAAGCATAATTCGGAATTCTGAAATATGATTCTTCTCCTCTAATTGGACGAATTCGCTTCTCGAGATTTAACTTATTCCGAGCTTCTTTGACCGATTTTTTTATCGGGACTCGAAGAGGTTTTGGAGAAAGCGTCTTTCGAAGCTGATTGGAAGGGAATTTCGTTTAATTGATTGCCTTTCGATTCTCAGAATTGGAGGTCTTTGGACGAGCAGGGTGAGCTTGAAGCTTTGCATTATATCGTTTGGTTAATATCTTACTTTTGGGAATTAGGATTTTTTTCAACGAATTTCTTGAGTTCATTATTTTATGTAGAAGTAGAAATGTTGTATTTTTTCTTATTCAAGAAGAGTTACATTTTTTATTTTCTATAAATTACTGTTTTTGTATTCAAATGTGCTTGTAGAAGCGAAATGCAAGTAGCAAAATGGTATTTAACTAAGGCGAATTCGTTAAGAACAAGTCTAAGTCACATTTGTAAAACACCAAAGAAACTATCACATTGTTTTGATCTTATGATCTAGTTTGAAGCAATAAGTTGCAGGTGTAATTCCCATGCTTGATATTTTAAATGCATATTTTTGAAGCTCATGGGTTAAGCTGGGGTTTGTTTTGATGATTTGGTGTTGTTGATTCTTGTAGCACCAAATATTAGAATAGTGAGTTTATAGGTATTTGAGCTAAATTAAGGTTTATGACTTAATTGGATTTTTATGTTTCCAGGTATTTGTACCTTGTCTTTCTCGAGAACTTAGCAGCTTCCTTGTTCATACTTTTTTCATAGATTTTAGTGAAGATTGAATTTTGAAGGAGCTATCATGGACCATAGGCTTTCTGATAGCAGTGGTGAGCTGAAAGTTTTGTTTTAGTTTGTTTCCTCTTTCCCCCATGTATTTCAGTATTTGATGATTTTGAGGTTCAAGAACTTGGTTTCTTGAGGCTTGGT